ATATATATATACATATATATATATATATATATATATATATATATATATATATATATTTAGCTACTCAATCCTCCCTCATCTCTCTGCCTCCATTCGACAAAATAGCCGTGTTCTGCTGTATATTTGCCAAAATGGTGCAAATGTTCATCTACGCTAATATGGAGACGTAAGTTGTACTGTCTGAGATTGCAAATTATTTTAGAATTAATCATTCGACTACCTACTCGATTAAACCAAGTGAAGATAATATTTTAGCAAACCATCAATCGATAATTGATTTTTTTCAGGATCGGCTCCATGTACACCCAACAGATGTTCAACCTTACCCGAACGGAAACTACTGAATTCAACTCTGTCTTAGTCTCGTTATCCGGTTTTATAGGATTCGCTTTTCTACTCACCTATGTATGGACGAAACTGGGAAAACGGTGAGAAGATATGTGCATTTGCACAAAATTCTAATCGATTATCGATTCTCTTCTAGGGTTGACAATCGTGTCGGAGTTTTGGCTGGAATCTTCATTTGTGTGACATTTTTGTTCACAACTTATTCATGGCCATTCTATACGGAAAACGTTGAAAGTGATGGTAAGTGCTGGCAAAGTTTAAAACATGTGACTCGTGCTAGGCTCTGAGACATTGGCTCAAGTTTTCCGTATTGCAGAGTGCCACTCACCGTGGTGCGCATCAACTCCAAAAATACCATGGTTGCTCTATTCTGGCTCCTACGTGCTAGTCTTCGGTATCGGCTTTGCCTTATTGAATGTTCATCTGGCTGCAATGTACTCTGGGGTAGGTTTTAATGGGCAGTTGCTAAAAGCGATACCTGGATCGTTAAACGTGTTCAACCAACAGTCAATAAATTCGAGGAACTTGAATTTTTTGACGCCACGCCTTTATAACATTTTGATTAGAATTTTGTATGTACTTACAAATAGAATCACCCATCTTAGGAGAATTCGTGAAACGTTTTGAGTCAAGCTGTTGTTTAACTTCAGGTTCTCGGACCCCGTCGGCAAGGTACGATGCATGGAATCAATTCCCTCTTGGCCAGCTGTAGTAGAGTTCTTGGACCAGTTGCTGTAACGTAAGTTCACTTCATGATCTTCAGTAGTATAATAGCTTGCATATCCAGCCGCTCGGCTGTTTCAGAGTGGTCAATGGTACTTTAATATTTTTTTCTGGAAGGGGCACAGTAGATTTTTAGATTTCCAGCATAAAAATTTTCTCTTAGCAAACCTAGGCTGGAAAAAAAATCACGTCGTACTGTTCAGCATGTTAGGACATCTTTGCATCAAATGGTAGCAACACGAAAAAACAACGAAATTAGTAAATATTGTCTGAAATGAAATTATACTTGTTATTCAG